CCCCAAAACCCCAAAACCCCAAAACCCCAGTTGACTGAAATTCCATCAATTTATTAATAAAGTTAGCTTAAATTAAATAAAATAAGTCTAATGGCTTACAGTACAAATAACATTCCCTAACTAATAAATAAAATCTAGTATTTTCATGGGCAAACAGATAAATCTCCTCTAAAAAATGTACCTTAAAATAAATTCATATTGCACTAAAACATGGGATCTGTAAATCTATAGTAATTGCCAAAAGAAAGCATTTCTCATTAGAAAGAAACTAGGAATCACGCTTGATACAAATCTCATGAGAAGAATAACAATAATGATGGCAGGATGATATTTAAGATTCCACAGACAAGGCAAAAGAGAACTTTTGCTAGAAATGATTTCATAGGAAACAATTACAATGAATTGCTCAGAAATTAATAGGAAGCGATGAATCATCTAAATGATCCAAATTTATACACAAATAATAATCAGATGCAAAATCAGAATTAGCATCCAGCCTCGTAGTAAAAGTAATTATTGCCTCTCAACTTAAAAGAATAAAATCTCTATCAAAAAATGAATCTTATGAATCAAAAGTTGTAAAGCCAATATAACTTATCGTAATAAGAGTAAGTATAGTAGTAGCAAATATTAATGAATAGTATAATAGCCTCTAATGCTGTAAATCCATATTAAAACTCTATTTTAGAGTAAGATAATTAGAAGTACTATCTGCCATTAGTTGATGAGCACCAAAATACTTCTTTGTATAAGGATGCTTAATAAAGGATATTTCATGAGAATTATGGCAAAAATAAGCCTCTCTCAGATATTCCAAGAAGTATTAGAATTCGGAATTAGTAAGTATTTCAACAGCAAGTTGCTGAATAGGATTAAGGACACATTGATAAAAACGCTTATCTATTTCAATAGCTAAATAACAAATAAACACCCAATATCTCTGCTCTTGATCATTTATAACAGCACTCTACAGATAGTAGATTTAGAGATCCCAGATAAAGCGAAAAGACTCTTAAGCCAAATATATCTTATGGCTAAATCGGGAAAATCTCACCTTTTTCACATTAAAGAGACAATGATGTTTTCATAGATCCTTATACAAATCATTATAACTCAAGAGAATTAAATGCCAACTATGATAAAGATTTAGGGAATACCAAGAAGAGTTTAATGAATACTGTCAGCAACATAACATTACTAAATGAGAGTAAATAGAATCTTAATTTAAGTGATATATCTCAAATCTAGTATAGTGTTGATGGTGCAACTGCCTAGCCTTTCACGACGATTAATAATCAGAACCTATAACATTCCTTAACTCGTCCTAATCACGCAAAACTTCCTTCTTAACAGCGAAAGACCAGGCGTTTTAACTTGCTAAACTCAACAGCAGATATGATTTCAAGAGAGTTTATGAAATAATAGCATTCCTTAAATGATTCTCGAGAGTAATTAGGCTAGCGACATGGTTCCTTACTAATTGGAGATTAGAGAAATTCACTTAATCCACATTTGAACAATCAATTAGATAGATAATCTGTAGTATACAACAGTAATTATAACACAAATCTAGATGATAGCTAAATAAGTAGCAATCATTTTGTAGTCAGGAATCCCTTAGAGAAAAATATAGATAATTAGAAGAGATAAAGGATAATACCGAGAATAGATTAAGCCGCTATGAATCCCCGAGAGTTAAAGTATGGGGGACCTAAATACTTGCCTACTAATAGAGATTATGGAAATTTCCCTAACTTCAACGCCAGCACAAATATGAATTTGTTATAACTAAATTAGACCTAGTAGTTGTGATTATTAGGCTGATTATCAGAATTTAATTAATCTAATGTTGATTTTTAATATTAAATTCAGCAATATTTACTCTAGGGGTTTTGGGGTTTTGGGG